TGACACCAAGATCACCTATATCCAACATCGTTTACCCCTTTATCTCAAGACCCATAATGGGAACCAATTTCGATCGTCCGATCGGGATCACTTTTGATCCTGAACCCTATGTAACATGAAATCTGAAATCCAATCTTTTAGATGGATAGAGCTTGAAAGTCTAAGTCCAGTGTTACTAAGATCATCCAATTCTGACATTGTTAATGCCTTCATCTTTAGACCTGACGCTAGACTTAATTCAGGCCTTCCATTTGGAATCCTCTCCAGCACAACTTTGAACGTAGGGCATCCCACAACCAGAACTTCCTCTCAGCCTCTGGGACCATCTTAAAATCCAAGATTTGACCAGCTAGGAGCCTCCAATCAATCAAGCCAATCACCTAAACTTAGAATGTCCAATTCAAGTAAATTGGTGAAATCTTCTACTTATTGTCTTGATTGATTGAGAGGATCTCTCTCAAAGTTGTCTTGACAATCCCTTCCCTCAATCAATCTCCCTCCAAGAAACCTTTAAACCTCAGCCATTGATCTTCCATGGCTCCCTATCTCATCTCTCTATTCCCTTCTCAAAAATTTATAAACAAGCTAACTTAGGGAGAGAACTCTATCCCCATTAGCCTAGAGAATACCCCCCTTTACGTCCCAAGCAACCCCAAGCTTCCCTAACCCACATCCTAGACTCACCCCCCACCATCTCCAACGTCCCTAGAGTTCTCCTCATATCATCTAGAAGCCAAAGAACACCCTTGGGTCGTGCATACATCCAAGAGATGAAGCATGAAACATTCTTGAAGCAACAATGGTGCAACAAAATTACAATCATACAGCAGCAATCCTACATCATTTGGGCTACATAACAAATGTCTTTGACCTCCTAAATGACGGGGAATTCATCTTCAATCCAAGGGAAGGAGTCCAAGTTTCTCAAGAGGTATTTTGTAGAACCAACAACCAGAACATAGGTATGCTCATGCCCGTATCCTTTTTAAGTGACTATCCTTTACTAATTTTAGGAATGTCTTCTTTCATAATCTAAGTGTTATTTTACCCTTTAACTACATAATTTTTTCTTGTTTTTTATTATACCAACCATCCAAAAGATAAAATATTGTTTTCTAAGTAGAATTAGCATTACTTCTTTTTTAACTTTTTACTTAGTAATCGGTCCATCTAGTTTGCTACATTGCCTTTTTTTCGCTTCTTCTCGCATGTTACCGTAGTTAGAATTTATAGGATTGATCATGCTCTAGTTAATAGGGTTACATATCAGACTTGTTTTAGTTTTTCCTCAACTTTTTTTTTCTTCTTTTTTCCTAAAGAGAAAATTTAAATACATGCATTAATTCATAGGCTTACATTGAAGTGATAGGAAGATCTTCATTTCACAATAATTCATATTTCAAGCTCAGCCCATTAGTATTAGAATTAATGAATAGTTGCTAGAATTCACCGGGTTAGACCATCTTCTTGGGTTATCCCAATTATTTCTCTCAGTTTTTTTTTTCTTCTTTTTTTTTACTTCACATTACAATCTTTATGCTCTTGTCATTAACTTCTTATCTAGGAAGGCATTTAACATCCGAATAAAAGAATTTTAGATGTTGTATTTTCTTTTTAGCCATTTTGCATAGTGCAACCATATGCTTTAGTAGGACCCACTTTAACTCTAGAATTTAGCATCTCATTTCTAGGATATTGATCAATTCATGACACTCATCTAGTCAAACATCTCTAACATTCACATTCTTAGGCAAATTATTTCTTTTTAATTGATCATACATCAAATTAGTTTTCACTCTCGTTTCTTCTTAGCTAGTCATGCATTTCAAAAGTTCATCATTATCATTCAAATCTTACACATCTTGGTTCTTGCATTTAGTTTATATCATCTTCATGTAAATATAAATTCAGTCCTAACCCCTTTTCATGTCAGCATACCATCTAGCATTTACTTTTTTAGATTCTTCAATTATCAGTAAGTAGTTTTTTTAATCAATTCATATATATGTAGTCTTTGTTTTGTTTTGCTTCTTCTTAATTGTCTAGCTATTTTCTGTTGTCGTTGCTTCTTTTTCCTTAGTTTAATTTCTAATGTTGAATTAAATTGTAACTTTAATTGTTATTTTATTAACAATTGGTGAAGTAGAGGCTGGTTTAACCGAGTGCATGTGGGGTTCTTAACACCTTCCCACACTCTACCTGGGTCCCTGTACCCTAAGAATCTCCTAGGAATGTAAGAAAGTATTGTGCTTAGTTTGGAGGAGAAAGAGGGCTTCTAGAGTGGATTTAAAAGCCTTTTTTTGAAGCACATTTAAGTCCGCACCCAAAAAAATCATAGTATATCGGTTGATATACCATTGAAACACACTGAAACAATCCGAAATACTAGTGACACAATATATGACAAATAGGAACAATACCAATGATTTGGTACTGTTCCCTATGCCAACCTCACCCATATACAATACATATGGGCCGATACGAGCCAATACAATACGAAATTTTGAACCTTGATTCATTCAGGTAGGATAAATCCTTAGACCCTAAAACCTACTAGGGGTGAGCAAGAAAAACCAAAAAATCGAACCTAATCGACAAGACTGAACCAAAAATTTTGGTTAACTAAACTGGTCGGTTTGGTTTTGGATTTGGTATTTTTAAAAAACTGAAGGTACTGATTCAGTTTTGGTTAACCAATATAGAAAACTGACAATTAACCGAATCAATCAATACTCATATATTTCTATATATTATATGTATATTATATATTTTTTATATATTTTCTATATATTATAAATTAATAAATATACATTATATATTTATAATTTATAATATATTATTTATTATTTAAAATAACAATATTATATATCTATATATCTATTTTTATTGTATATATATAATTTTTTATAATATAAACTAAATATAAAAAAATAAAAAAATGGCGAACCGAACCAATGGCTAACTGATCAGCTTTAGTTTGGTTTCGGTTACCAGATTTCTAGAAACTAATAATACCAATTCGGTTTCAAAAATAGGCCCAACCGAACATGATTTGAACACGATTTGTGTCCACACATTTTGTCATGAAACTGGGACCACTATGTATGCAACTTAGGGGGCGTTCTTTTTCTAGATTTTGAGAGGGGGGGAAGTTGGTCAATGGGATTTTGATTCCCATTGACAAAAAATCCGATGTTCTTTTTTTAGGTTTATGTGGGGACTAAAGTGATACCCATCTCCTAGGTGGGTAAATAACTTTCCCACCTTGGGGGAAAGTTGCCAACACTTGAAAGGGACAAAAATGCCCCTTGTAATAATGGATTTTTATGGATAAAATGGTCATTGCCTTATTTATATGAGAAATAAAAGAATATAGGTAAATGCACTTACCCGGGTAAATCTTTCCTAAGAAACAATTACCTGAGGCTCCATTTGGTTTGTGGGAAGATTTGGGTGGGATGGGAAAAGTTGAAATGGGATGGGATGGGAAAGTATAAAAATTTAATTTTACATTGTTTGGTTTTATTGGGATGGGATGGGATGGGAAAGTGTAAAAGGGACCGAAGGAATGAAGTATTGGAGCTCAATCTACTGTTCATTCTCCTCGTCGTTCGAACTAGATGAGCGGCGGCGGCGATCTCTCTTCTCTCTGACCTCTCATTCTCTCTCCCTCCATTCTTTCTTTTATTTTCTATTTCTCCTCCCTCAAAGTAGCGGCGACCTGCGAAACTAGCGAAACTCGAAGCAGCAGCGGCCTACGAAAACCAGCGAAGCTCGAAGCACCGGCGGCTTGCGAAACCAACAAAGCTCGAAGCAGCAGTGGCCTACGAAATCAGCGAAGCTCGAAGTAACGGTGGTCTACGAAACCAATGAAGCTCGAAGTAGCGACAACCTACGAAACCAGCGTCGATAAAGGACGAGGCATGCGGGAGGGAGGAGGAAGATGAAGAAGAATACCAAGTTCCAGTCGAATGGACGAGGCATACGGGAGGGAGGAGGAAGACGAAGAATACCAAGTTCAAGTCGAATGGACGAGGCATGCGGGAGGGAGGAGGAAGACGAAGAATACCAATTTCAAGTCGAATGGACGAGACATGCAGAAATGAGGAAGGAGATAGATTTTCTTGAGTTTTTCCACCGGGGGCGCACTGTTTTGGTGTAACTCCAAATCCACGATTTTGAGATCTGACATCTCACCTTTTTCTCATCCCATCCCCCTCTTTCCCCAATAATATGAGAAATATTCCCTTTTCTTCATCCCTTCCCACAAACCAAACGGAGACCGAGTAAATGCATCTACCCGGTAAGTAACTTAGGGAGGGCCTTAAAAAAAAAAGATGTTGGAATGTGTTGGAACATGTTTTTATGTTGTGAACATATCCATACTCGAACATGTCCCTTGTCATTTATGGGGAGATCTTCCCGATGTGCGACTGTAATTGTTTGTTCAGACAAAGTTGGTAGAGTTTATTAGGAGCAAATCTAAAAACTCTCTTTCGGATGCAGTTAACATCGGCGCCCCACAATTGCCTACAGCATATCCGAATCATGGGGAACATCTCTCACAAGATGTTCATAATGCATGATGAAATGTGCATGCGAGGCGCTGATGTTATCTCTTTTGGATCGCCATGACTAATTCACATTTGCTCCCTACCGAGGGCGTCCCGCAAACGCCCCATAGAATATCTCAACCGTTTATTGAAAACATCTCGCACTGAACTTCCAGAGATGTTCCTGGTGCACGCTGAGATGGCATGTGAGGCGTGTATGAGGCGCAGATGTGAGGTCGCCATAGACTTGTTCTTGAGGAGATGGAATCTGTTGCTCACACATGGGCGCCTCACATGTTACATCCACCGTGCACATCTCCCGTGAATAATAATTGTAAGGAGCAGATCCGGTCTCGTTCTTGAGGCAATGTGATCGCAAACCAACGGTCTGGATTTATGCACTATTTTAGCTGTGATGGTCGGTCATATCTGCCATTAAAATCGCTGACAAGATCTCCTCCTCCTCCCCTTTCACTTACAGGCTCACTCGCAGAGTCACAGTCACCAGTCAAACGGTTGGAAGCTGAAGAAGAAGTAACTCAGCAAGAGAGGCTGAGTCTTCACAAATTTAATTCTCTCTCCGCCTCCTCCAAAGATGGGTGGCCCCGACAAAGGTATTTCCTCCATCTCACTCCACTCCTTCGTTTCATTGAGATCTGCAGGGCTTCTGTTGATTCTCTTTCTTTTTCTTTTTGTTCTCTTGATCGATCTCAGAAACCCTAACTGGATCCTTCACGGCCGAAAAAAATGCCAAGATCTTCGTTGCTGGCCATCGTGGGCTTGTCGGCTCCGCCGTGGTCCGCAAGCTCCTCCAGATCGGGTTCACCAATATCGTCCTCAGAACTCACCAGGAACTCGACCTTACCAGGCAATCTGATGTTGAGGCCTTCTTCGCCCAAGAGAAACCCCAATTCGTAATCCTCTCCGCCGCTAAGGTCGGTGGCATTCACGCCAATAACACCTATCCGGCGGATTTTATCTCTATCAATCTCCAAATACAAACAAACGTCATCGACGCCGCTTATCGCAATGGCGTCAAGAAGCTCCTCTTCCTTGGCTCCTCTTGCATTTATCCTAAATTTGCACCTCAGCCCATCACTGAGGATGCGTTGCTCACAGGACCTCTCGAGCCTACCAACGAGTGGTACGCCGTGGCAAAGATCGCCGGCATCAAGATGTGCCAAGCCTACCGGTTGCAGTACGGATGGGATGCTATTTCGGCAATGCCCACCAACTTGTATGGGCCGAATGACAATTTCCATCCCGAGAATTCGCATGTGCTTCCTGCATTGATCCGGCGGTTTCACGAGGCGAAGGTTTCAGGTGCAAAGGAGGTGGTCGTCTGGGGCACGGGTTCGCCATTGCGGGAATTTCTACATGTTGATGACTTGGCTGATGCTGTGGTTTTTCTAATGGAGAAGTATAGTGGGTTGAGCCACGTTAATGTGGGGAGTAGGAAGGAGGTAACCATTAAGGAGCTTGCTGAGCTGGTGAAGGAGGTGGTTGGTTTTGAGGGAGATCTCGTCTGGGACTCCACAAAGCCGGATGGAACACCCCGGAAGCTCATGGATAGCTCAAAGTTGGCTGAGTTGGGATGGGTTCCCAAGATCTCCCTACGGGACGGGCTTGTTGACACCTATAAATGGTACTTGGAGAATGTCAAACTATAATTCTGTTGATGATCTGGTATATTATCTTGTCTCCTGTCTGTTCTTCTTTTGTTTTGCCATTGTATGTTTATGAAGCATTTACTTGTTTGGCCTATTGTTATCTCTGTTCCGAGGACATTGCTGGAATTATCATATGGATCACTATTAGATTGATTGGATACTACTTTTTAATAAAAAAGGTGTATTAGGGACATGATTTATAATTAAAATGGATTTTAGTTGGTATTTAAGTGGAATCAAATGTTAAATTATTTACTTTTCTTTTGAGAGTAAAATTTTCATCGATTACTCAAATTATTAATGTTGTTCTTTATATGAGTTCAGTGATGCATCATGGATGTTGTCCTAATTCTTGCAATTCATTTTAATTATGTGCTTTGAATATTTCTTTTATAGTTCAAGGACCAATTCATCCGCAACTTTTAGGTACAGATAGAACTTTTAGGACAACATCCATGATATCAGAAAAAAAAAAAAGAAGAAAACAAAAGGACCAGTTCATCAGCAACTTTTAGGTACAGAGAGAAGTATAGAACTGCTGTGATATCTATGCTTGTTTTGCATGAGTCCCTTCTGATGCTTGGAAAGCTTTTGATATAGGCAAGCAGTTTTATAGGAGATAAAATTCTTTAAATGGGATTGAGTAATTTCTCAAAGAAGTTGATTAACTGATCTCAATGCAGTGGCGGAAGATCAGAAGGTTTTTGTCTTTAAGGGAAGAAAAAGCAGAAATTTTGATGTTTGCTGTATCTGTTGTTAAATAAGGGACCTTATGGGACAGGGCATCAACAGTTTGGAGGTGTGCCACCATGACAAAGGTGGTTTTTTGCTACCTTTTTTGTGATATCATATGTTAAGGGACCTGGAATGTGGGTGCGCTAAATGGATCATTATCAATATGCTGCAATTCTGAAGTGTTTATCTACTTTTGAGACCTTACAATTTTCTCATTTTTATGATCATTTAAATTGCAAAATGATAGGATAAGTCAAGGTTAAAGCTTCCCCTCTCACCACTTAGAGTTCAGTAAGTGGTCCCCCTTTGTACTTGTCCTTGGTTCAATTGAGTTGCCATGGATTTTGAAGTGTGAGGTGGCAATTTAATCTAGAAAATCCTGCTTGTTTTTCAAATCTGAAAGTTAGATGCTTATTATTTAACTTTAAAATCTGAAATTGGCTATACTCATTTGTTCCGTATGAAGGCTGTATTGATGCAGATTTTAAAAGTTATGGTTTCTATTATGGTATTGTGATGCCTTAATTGCATTTGCATTCTCATAGACTGGGTTACATGCCTTCAAGCTACATAAGAATCATATTTCATTTTTTCCCAGGAAATTATTATTGTTTTACACCTTGTTTTCAATTGCTCAAGACAGGCAAGAATTTGTGGAAAATCCTAACTTGTTTTTTATGCCTTAGGAAAATAAAATAGCCATTGGTTTTGATTACACTTAAAAGGTTGAGAGTTTCATCTTCAGATATATTTTACCAAATTTCTAAGAATAGGAAATTGGTTTAGTGGATGTTCAAGAAAAATATGACTCATCAGTGTCAAAACTTTAAGAGCTGTTAGGCTTTTGAAGTTGTATGCTGCCACCATGCTTAGTAGTGGTTCTAGAAAATATATTCTGAAAATCTTGTATGGTGTAGATCTGTTATGGATATGTTTGCCCTGTAACTTTAATTAACCTCAACTCCATGCATAAATCCAGGGTCTGGGCCTATAGCTTAAGACTTTTTCTTTTAATGTTCAAATGGGTTTGGGGCCTTTGGGTCTCAGCCTATATGTCTTACACTAAGTGCTATACCTTGTTTTAGTACCAGCAAACTTGTAGGATTAAAAACCAAAAATCTACTCTGACCAAATGAAATATAATTGAACATGTCACTTTACTTACAAGATAGTTAATCGGATAATGATATTTAATGAATTTAATTTTGCAGTAGCAAACATCTAAACAATATTTTTCTTTGAAGATTTGTCAATTTATTGTTAAATAAGCTCAGCTGTTGTATTTTTGCTCTCTAAATCTAGCTTAACATGAAACAGTAAATTAGGCTCAATTTGGAAAGAATACAAATACAAATATGTACAGTGCAAATACATATAAAATAATACAAAATGCAGGATTTTGCACTGTACATATTTGTACTTGTACTCCTTGCAAACCGAGTTTAAGTTGAAACATGTATACAAAGAGGGCCAGGTGAGCTATGGGTTCAATAGACCAATTGCCTTTATTCCCATAGATACCCTATTATATCCATTGTCTTTGAGTTGCATCAAGTGTCATTCAAATGTTTTGGGGTTGTGGACCCAATCCATAATAATGACAACCTGATATGGATCCCCATCTCCCTTGGCAATCAATCCCATTTTTTCCAACTTCCTTGTTTATTTCTTATTTGCTTCTAAGGCTCCAAAAAGTAGAGTGAGAAGGCTGAAAATTATGACGGAAATAAAGATCACTTGATAAATTGGGAAACTGTTTATAAGTGCAAAGACCGGGGNGGGGGGGGGTGTTGGGAATGGGGAACATATTTCTTAGATATCTCTTTCTTACAAAAGTGGATTTGGAGATTTACCTAGGACTTTGATAAATAATGGGACTTTGTGATTGGAAGCATCATCAATGTATTGTCCTTGGAAATCTATTCATGCCATTCTTGTGTCATTCCTAAGTCTTATATGGCAAAATGCTCCAATTGGGAGTAAAATCAATTTTTGGGAGAATCTTTGGTGGTGACTCTTCCTCTATGACTCAATGCCCTCTATTGCATGTTATAATTGCAAATTATTTAATGGGACCTTTCTTCGGATTTTAGTTTGAGAAGAGGTTGAAGGTATTTTGAGTCGGTGGAAGCCATGAACTTGCTGCCTTACTTTAGGGGGCTCTTTTGATATTCTTGTTGATTTAAAAGTTTGGGTTCATGTCTGGTGGATCTTTCACTTATTCTGTTTTCAACGTGTTGTCTTGGAGTCCCCAAGCCATTCTGGTGTTTCTTGTGAAAGTTTTCTGGTTGTGACCAATCAACCTCTAAGGCTAGGGCTTCCTGTTAGGAGGTGATTCACTTGAAAATTAATGCTGGTGAGGTTCTTCAAGGGAGAAGAACCAACTGGCGTATCTTCTATCCATCACTTGCTAATCTTCTATCAATTTGTCTTTATGAATTGCGAATATTTCTTTTCTTTGTTTGGTTACAGGTGCACTAGATCTTTTAAGATGGGTAGGTTATTTCAGTCATCCTTCTCCCCACTGTAGAAGAGATTTGAGGTTTCATGAAGATGGGCAAGGCTAGCAATTTTGCAGTTCATGTTGGAGGAAAGAAATGCAAGAATATTCCAAGACAAATAAACAGTAAAAGTGGAGCAGTGATTGAGCTGATTTTTATTAGAGTAGATTATTAGGTAAAGATAAGGATGGAATTTTAACCATTCACTATTGATCACATCTTGATCCCATATATTTGGGACAAGGCTTAGATGATGAAAATTGGCAAGTTCTTCAACAACCCACACACCTAGACAGGTTGATTGGTGAATTTTCATGGATGCAGCCTAATAACCCCAGGCGATTTAGGTATTGGATGTGTTTTCAGAAATCATCAGTCAAGACCTTGCCATTTTACTCAGGAACAATAGGATGTAGAGAATCTGACAAGCGGTACAAGGGCTGAGATACTGCCATTGATTTAACCCTAAAACCAGGAATGAGACTTTTTTTATTAGAAAAAAGTAAGCTATTGTATTAAATATAAGGGCAAAAAGACATGCCACTTTAGACCATATACACCCCTTGTGTATATAATTGTGCAACTTTTTAGCAAGAAATTAACAAGAGAATAAGATAGCTCAATCAAAAAAAATCTGTATAGATCAATCCCCCGAATTCCCTATGGAGAACCAGCCAAGAACAGAGCATTCCTTCGATTCTTTTCAGCATAGCTGTTCATATAAACTGGGAATTCCTTTCCTCTAATATAGACGAGAGAGCAGGCACTGGAATCATCCTCGATAGTCGAAACAGCTGTACCCTTGTTATTGACACCACTGACTGTCAACTCCATAGAAAAGCACGGATGGAGCAACATAAACAGTCAACCCAACCAAAAGTATTTAGGACATTCCAGATTTTGAGAGCATGCAGACAGTACAAGGACCCAGCCATAGGAATGAGACTGGGTTTTGCTAACTTAATGGTAGAGGGAGACTCAAATCACCATGATGAAGGGCAGCACAGATGGACCTTGGGAATATGAATACAGCTTCAGGAAGGCAGTGTTCCTTGTTAGGAGGATGAATGATTCATAGAATTACAATTAGGCATGAGTAGCAAATTCGGTAGCTGACACTTTGCAATTGGTGCAATGACGACAGAAATAATTCTGGGGCCTAATTCTTTTTCTGTTTTTTTAGGTGATCAGCAGATTTGGGGGCCTAATCTTATAAACTGACCTGAGATGAACAAAGGGGAACAAGAACCGACGAGCTAGTATTGTTTTCTTGTTATGTAAATCTCTGTTTTTGGGTGTTTAGGCATTATCTCATAGTAGATGAAGTATGCTTGATCCAATACTGATCGAAAAACAAAATTTCCTAATAACAACCTGGTGTCAAACTGGTCCTATTTTTAGATTGATGATGGGCTTTTTTAAGGTTAGGGAAGGTAATTTGGGGGTTTAATATTATGAAGAATAGATATGGAAAAGCAAGTAGATAGCTTATTGATTGCTAAAGCAAGTAGATAGCGTCCAAGCTTTTATAGATTTATGAAGAAAAATAATCTTGCTGTTAGAACATAGAACATGAGTTCGGATCTCCTGCCCACAGCTTTCTACCCACGTCCCTGCCCATGCCATAAATTTTGGACATATGTCCATTAACATGTGCCTCTTCTTCATATGTGCAGAATTGCATGTGAAGTCAAAAATGATGTATTGGGATGGACCCGTGAGAACTCAGAATTCACCCATTACACTAATTAATTTTTTAACCTAAAAATAATTTGATGATGCAACTTGTTTCAGTTGCTAGAGTTAGACACACAACACATGTAGTGTGTGTTTGGATGAAACACTAAATATAGACCATTTTTCAATTATGCCCTAGACCTTGGAGATTGATGGGAAAAACTAAAAAGTTACACATAACCTCTATACTTGATTATGGTACTTGTCTCAATTATGCCATAGGCTTTGGAGATTGATAAAAAAACTGGAAAGTTACA